TAGCCAGTGAAATTTGATAATTAAGGTAAGTGTGTTCGCAGTCAACAATATATCCAGTGAAATTTGAAAAGGAAAGCGTGTACGCTGACTTAACACTCTAATAATAGATATAACTTACCTTCTTACGTTATACGGTCAACAACAAATCTTGTGAGGTCTAGTATGTACATAGCCTTAAAATTAACTATAATAGTAGATACAACGCACATTCTTGCTTTATACAGTCAACATCATACGTATAATCTAAAGAGAGTAGTGTGTACGCGACAATTGAAATACTTATCCAACTCTTACTCTCCCCAACCCTTACCCTACTCTCACTCCACTTCCTCTCTCTTTCCAAGAAGCCAAATATAGGTGGGGGTGAGGGGGGACTAGAAACCAAAAAGGAAAGAGGAAAAAAAAACTTTTCTTTATCACTCCTTTAACTCACAAGGACCACCACAAAACACACAAGCCCACTACACTACCAATCTTAGTCATTATTTCTCTATCTACTATCACTCTTGTGAATGCAGTTACTTCATTTTCCTTTCCACCTTGTACACATGAATATCTAACAATAATCCCAAACTCAACATTCATTCAATGAAACTTGTACTCCATTACCTAAAATTCACACCTTTTTCCCTTTTTCATTTCCATTCCCTTCTCTAACTACTCTGAAAAAAACATTTGTTTGCTTCTCTTATTGTAGGAACTAAAAACACCATCATAAAAATGAGATCTTTTAGTCCCTTTTTAGTTCTAATACTTTATTTTGGCTTATTGTATGGATCTTTATTAGCTGATGATACTACTATGCAGCTTAATGATGATGTTTTAGGCCTCATTGTGTTCAAATCAGCTCTTCTTGATCCTTACTCAAAACTCTTGTCATGGAGTGAAGATGATAACTCTCCTTGTGCATGGGAATACATCAAATGCAATCCAATGAATGGTAGAGTCACTGAGCTCAACTTAAATGGCTTAAGTTTATCAGGAAAGATTGGTAGGGGGCTCGAGAAGTTGCAATCTTTAAAGGTACTATCTTTGTCAAACAACAACTTTACTGGTGCAATTAGCCCTGAGTTAGCCTTGTTGACAAATCTTGAAAATCTCAACTTTAGTCATAATGGCTTATCAGGGAATATCCCTGGATCTTTTTCAAATATGACATCTTTACAGTTTCTTGATCTGTCTGAGAATGCTTTATCTGGACCTGTCTCTGATACCATGTTTGATAACTGTGGTGATTCGCTACGTTATCTTTCTCTATCCGGGAATTTTCTTGAAGGTTCATTTCCTAAAACAGTTTCAAAATGCACTAGTTTGAATCATCTCAATCTTTCAAGAAACCATTTTTCTGGTGACCCTGGATTTTCCGGGGGTATCTGGGGATTGACAAGGCTTAGAACATTAGATCTTTCACATAATGAACTCTCTGGATTAGTACCAATTGGTGTTTCAGTTTTACATCAGTTGAAAGAGTGTTTGTTACAAGGGAATCATTTCAGTGGAGATTTACCAGCTGATATTGGTTTCTGTCCACATTTGAATAGATTAGATTTGAGTAATAATCAATTCACAGGACAAATTCCAATGTCACTTCAAAGGGTGAATGTTCTTTCTTTTCTCAGTTTATCAAACAATATGATAAATGGAGATTTCCCTCAATGGATAAGTAACATGAGCAGCTTGGAGTACTTGGATCTTTCAGGCAATAGTTTAGAAGGAGCATTGCCTGATTCAATAGGAGATTTGAAAATGTTGAAGTACTTGAGTTTATCTGGTAATAAATTGAGTGGAAACATTCCAAAGTCTATGGTGTATTGTACTAGTTTATCGACTATTCGGATGAAAGAAAATGCATTGACTGGTAGCATTCCTGAAGGATTGTTTGGTATAGGATTGGAAGAAGCAGATTTTTCAAGAAATGAGTTAACTGGTTCAATCCCTCCTGGTTCTGGTAAATTCTTTGAATCACTTCAAGTTCTTGATCTATCAGGAAACAATCTTACTGGGAATATCCCAGCTGAAGTGGGACTTTTCTCCAAGTTGAGATACTTGAATCTTTCTTGGAACAATTTTCAATCTAGATTGCCTCCTGAAGTTGGATACTTTCAGAATCTAACGGTGTTGGATCTTCGACACAGTGCTTTAGTTGGATCAATTCCTGGTGATATATGTGATTCTGGTAGCTTGGGAATTCTTCAGCTTGATGGAAATTCATTCACTGGACCTATTCCTGATGAGATTGGAAATTGTTCATCCCTCTACTTGTTGTAAGTATATTTATTCTGATTTATCTCATTATAGTATGGTACAGCCTCTCTATAACAGTCATTTCACTATGAGAACCATGTTTTTTGTGGAACCAATCTCTCATGTTATGTTATCTATTACAACATGTTGCTATAGCAGCAAAAATAATATCGGAACAAACAATGTTGTTATAGAGAGGTAGCAAGGGATATGTTTATTTGAAAATGAGGTTCTGTATCACTTTTGCTTTGTCTATTTTCCCTGTAGTTCTTGAATTGAATGTCAAATTTGTTAAATGCAGGAGTTTGTCACATAATAATTTAAGTGGCTCAATACCAAGGTCCCTTTCAATGTTGAAGAAGCTCAAGATTTTGAAGCTAGAGTATAACCAATTGAGTGGTGAAATACCACAAGAACTTGGCAAGTTAGAAAATCTTCTGGCTGTTAATATATCCTACAACAGGCTCGTTGGACGCCTTCCAATGAGTAGTATATTCCAGAATTTAGACCAGAGTTCATTGGAAGGGAATTTGGGAATTTGTTCACCCTTGTTGAAAGGTCCCTGTAAGATGAATGTGCCAAAGCCTTTGGTTCTTGATCCTTATGCATATGGAAACCAGAGGGGAGGTCAAAACCGGGACGATGGAACTTCAAGAAGCAATAACAAAAGTTTCAAGAACCATAGATTCCTCAGTGTTTCATCCATTGTTGCAATCTCTGCTGCAGCTGTGATCGCGGTTGGAGTCATGATAATAACCTTACTCAATGCTTCTGTTCGAAGGAGGATCACATTCGTTGACAATGCCTTGGAAAGTATGTGCTCAAGTTCTTCTAAGTCAGGGAGCCTTGCCACTGGAAAGCTTGTGTTATTGGACACCAAATTGTCCCCGGATTGGACTAATAGCAGTCTTGAATCAATCCTAAACAAGGCATCTCAAATCGGTGAAGGTGTCTTCGGGACTGTTTACAAGGCTCCATTGGGAGGGGAAGGAAGAATAGTAGCTATCAAGAAGCTTGTAACATCAAAAATCCTCCAATATCCTGAGGACTTTGATAGAGAAGTTAGAGCTTTAGCAAAAGCAAGGCATCCAAATCTAATATCCTTAAAAGGGTATTACTGGACTCCTCAACTTCAGCTTCTAGTATCAGATTATGCACCAGAAGGAAGTTTACAAACCATACTGCACGAAAGGCCTTCGTCTTCAACTTCCCTTCCCCTGTCTTGGTCCACTCGATTCAACATTGTGCTCGGAACAGCCAAGGGACTAGCACATTTGCACCATGCGTTTAGGCCAGCAATCATACACTACAACATAAAGCCTAGCAACATCCTCCTTGATGAAAACTTCAACCCTAGAATATCAGATTTCGGGCTGGCAAGGCTAGTGACAAAACTCGATAAGCACATGATAAGCAACAGGTTCCAGAGTGCACTAGGCTATGTAGCACCTGAATTGGCATGCCAGAGCTTAAGGGTGAACGAAAAGTGCGACGTGTATGGTTTTGGAATGTTGATTCTTGAAATTGTCACAGGTAGAAGGCCAGTTGAGTATGGAGAGGACAATGTGTTGATACTCAATGATCATGTGAGAGTTTTGCTTGAGCAAGGCAATGTGTTGGAATGTGTTGATCCAACTATGAAAACTTATCCTGAAGAGGAAGTTTTGCCTGTTTTGAAGTTGGCATTGGTGTGCACTTCTCAAATACCATCAAGTAGGCCTTCAATGGCTGAAGTGGTTCAAATCTTGCAGGTCATCAAAACACCTGTTCCTCAAAGAATGTCAGCATACTAAACATGTCACAAACTTGATGAATTTCCCTTTCTCTTTGGCTTTCTATCATCCTATTGTTGTTATGTTAACCTCCTAATTTGATGTTTTTGGACTAGATAGTGATAGAGAGAGTTTTGTACTTCTCTGTCATTTGATGAAATATATGAGAGGTTGGTTCAATGACTTCAATCATGTTTGTTGTTCTTTTATGCATTCTCACTTAATTTATTTTTTGAAAGTATATACTCATGAAAACTGAGTGAAAGTGGATACAAGATTACAAGAATGGTTACTTCTGTATGTGGTTGTTTGTAATGGCGGAGTCAAACTTTCACTTACGGAATTCAAAATATATAGAAGTACACACATCGAATAAACCAAGTGAATTCAATACCTACAGTATATGCATACCAATAATACTAATCATATATATACAATATAAAATCTCGATAAACCCCCTTATGCCACCTAGCTCCACCCCTTATTGTTTGAGCCTAAAGCCTTTGACAGAAATCACCGTATATTATATTGGGTGAAATCTCTGTTTGAACTATCATCAGAGCGTCTTTTCACTGATTTTTTTCTGACGACACCAAGAGTGTAGATTTTATATTCTCTTGGCTGTTAGCAGAACAAAACTTTGAGATTTGGGTGTCATATTCATCCATGGACTATTATAATATGTACAAGTCTGTCTTTTCTATGTGATATATATATTCAACCTACTGCCAAGACATCACAATTTAGAATACAGTTATAACGTGGTAATACACACAAACAAATAAATAGAACAAGCTTCTTTTCTCACCTCAAATTTCTGATCGAACAGTAATTTTAAATTTGATTAGTCAAAAATAAATGACTTCTCCACAAAAGTACTTTTCGAAAAAGAACGGATTTTAAAAGCTTGACCAACCAAGCTAGTGTCCCAAGGAAAACTGTTGGGTACGGAAGTTTCTACGAGTGCACAAACAGTTCAATATATGAGATGAAGCAATCTTTTTAATTCATAGCAACAATGAGGGTAATTGAGAGATTTTTAATCTTCCATATCCAGACAATCGATCAAAAATGATAAGGTCATCGATACATAGATCCCTATTCCTTCTTTGTGGACTAGATGTAAATCTTCACATATATAATTCCAGGCAGGCTACACTTGATTGCCAATCACAGAAGAATATAAAAGTAAAACTACAGAAAGAATAAGACGCCTACAGAGATAAAGGTCATTCTCTTTCCCTCTCACATCAGTAATTTAAAAAAAAGGCACAAAAATCAAATCTAAGGTACAAATTGCCAACTCAAAACTTGCTCAGTTCTCGTGCAAAGCCTTCATCAGATGTAGTCTACTGAGGCTTTGTCCCGCAACTCTGCAATCAACATACAAACAAATTCATATCAGAAGAAACGAAATATTACAGGCCAGAAAAAAACTGGGAACAGAAAGAACATTCAGCCATCATGTGTCAAGACTCAAAGATAATGGCAAACAGTAAGCAAACAAGACCACAACTTACCCATTAATCTGGTTGCAGTAATTTGAAATTTGATTAGTTATGAGAAAGCTATCCAACCGTGAAGGCTCTGGGAGTGGCTTAAAGACAGGATTAGAGGGATCCTCTTCTGGCAGTAGCTCTTCTCCTGCAGCTTTACGTGCCATGTTCTCAGTCCTGTAAAAAACAGAGGCCAGAACAAAATGTGAACAATGAAGCACCTCTAATCATAAAGAATTATAATCTACAAAGTTCACCAGAATATTAGCTCAGCAAAAGATTCAAGCTTCACCGCAAGGTGACTAAAAGCATCTGAGGGGATCTAAATAAGTGACCAACTACTCGAATATGCCAAAATAAAAAAAGATACCTCCTCTTTTGAAGCCAAGCTTGCTGCTGAGCTTGTTGACGAGAAAGATTCCGGTAATAGAATTGGAACTGCAAATAAAGTATTAGATTTAGTAAACAATCACAACACAATAAAAGGAAAGATTGACCCAGGAAGAGGAAAGACAAACCTTTTGCTGTTCCATTGACAAGTCATCCATGCATTCAATCAAAAATTCCACATTCCTCTCCAAATATGGATTGGTTGATAATTGTAGGCGTTCATAATCACACTGACAAGGAAAAAAAATTGTCAGTATTACAGTTTGGCAACATATATAAATATTCAGTATTCTGCCAAACTTAAGTTACATTACCTGAGTTACAGGTGTATCGGGTTCCAATTCAGTCATAAAGGCACTAATGAGTGCAGAATTCGAAACTTTTATCTGTCAAAATAAACAAAATTAACTTCTGCTGAATTACTGACCTATGAACTATGTACCTTTACTAACAGCAGGCAGGTAGGATCACTACATGATAATGGTATTACTCAAAATAATGTTCAAACCAAGAAAATGTGTGGTAGCAATGTATGTGTCAAATCTAACCTTAAAGGAGGAAGAATTATTTTCAAGACCACAGAAAAGGAAAAAAGAAAAAGGGTTCCCTAGGGAAAAAAGGCTAATGTATCAGAACTATATTTCTATTTTCTCAAACAACTGATCTCCAAATAAATACAACTCTCTGACATGCAAAATGGTAACAGGTTATGAAGCAGAGATCGTCACTCGAAAAAGAATCTACATATGATGACGCAAGTGCCAAAGACAAAAGAGAAAACAGAATACAGAAGGTTAGAAGCATACTGGTATCTCTTCAAAGATGTCAACCCATGAAAGATTCTTTTCTCTCAGCCTAAAACCAAAAAACAAATATCAGAAATTAAAATGCGTTTAATTTTGTTTAAACTAGTACGAACAACTATCTTGAGAGGGAAAGTAAAAAAAGGAGCAACTCAAGAATAAACATACTTCTCTCCAGTAAAGTTGTTACTCTTGTAGAGTTCCATGAAAGAATCAGAAAGCTTCAAGGCTTTCAAAGCTAAGACACCTTGGTTGGATCTAGAAGGATCATAAATTATGCAGACACAACGTTTTATATTCTCCTGCAATCACAAACATCATAAAGTCTAAGTACAATGAATTGTTCACATCAATAACTAATGAAAAATATAGAAGCACCTAATCAAGCCAACATCTTAAGAAAAAGATTAAGAAATATATCAGAAAGAAAACTACTTTATTTACAGTACCAAGTGTTTCATATTTCAAAAAATCAACAAATGAGGAATGCTAGTAGGTTTTCCCCTGCAAAGGATAACACATAACCTAGGCAAGAATTGACAACAGCTAGTGGCATTTGACTTTAAGATCTTTTTCATGGATGTTTGACTCAAGCAATTGATCAGAGTTGACTTTGAGCAGCAGTTTAACCCCTCAAATTCCTACATGGATTACATTTCTCATGCTACTTTTAATAAGGACTCCATATCCTTGTCTGTTGGAGCTTTCCCTGCTAGGGAACCAGACACCTCCATTATCCCCAAAAGTCATTTACTCCTTCAGTACCTGTTAAGGTGGTGGGTCATTTTGCATGATGCACTGGTCTACCAGGCATAGAGCACTGGTATTTGAACTTTAAACTAAAATGGTAACACAGTTTGGAATGCCTTGGGCTCATTTAGCATCACTACAGGAAACAGTTCTACCGTGTAGTTAATTTCATCATTTCTCCCTTTTCTTCCTAGGGCCAGCAGAAAGGGGGTTGCAACATGACATTTTCTAAACTGAAAATGACTTGCAGGATAAGTGTGATATATCTATGGTCGCTGCAGGAACTGAAAGTTCAGAATCCAACAATGACAGATGGACAAGGAGATGGATACCTGGTAATTCATGAAGGTCTCTATCAGTTCCACTGTCTGATAAGAACCAAACAAAGTTGATTGATACCTGGAAAATAACCACCAATGAGATCCATATTATGAACAAATTAGCAATGAAGTAAACGTTAAGATGACAATAATGTAGGAAAGAAAGGTAAATAGAGCAAGCTTTACATGTCTTTCTCACTACTGTGTAATGCATAAGACAGTTTTTTTAATGTTAACATGTATGACAGTTTTGTTACTCCCTTTTTTGATAATAACTTTCTCTTCACTGCCTTGAAACACTGTAATTTAGACTGCAGAAATGCAATCAGGCCATCAAATGTTGTACATTGTCCACTTCTAGACGTTAGGTTAAAGATATACATATTCTAAGCATTTTAAGAAAAAAGGATAAGTTTATACTTAAATATAAATTAAACAGTGATGAAAGAAAATGTAAATCACACAGTACCACCAGCCCAAAGAAAGAATGTTTTCCTGAATAGAAGGTTAGCAATGAGTATAATAGAGAACTAGCACAAAGACAAATGATGTCTTAATAGTCAAAAAGCTCCCTTACCAACCCACGGTGTTGTTGTCAACATTAACCTCCCTCAGGCATCGCATCATTTCAAGTTGATAATTAGCACCCTCGGCTTCAATCTCCTCATCTTCCTCGCGAACCTGAGTAAAATAGATGTGAAAAAGAGTTGGTTAAAATAATTTCGAAACTGTATAAAGAAGAAGCAAGAAATACCAGACTTCACCATACCGGAAAGGGAAAACAGTTAGTGACTTCAAGAACACTCCCAACATCCAATCCAAGGAGTTGCCCAGTGACCAAAGCCGGTGAAAACTCCTGGCAATGCTTTATTATTTTCAAAATAACCTGTAGCACAGAGTTAACTTCAGGAAACTACACATGAAAAGGCAGTCAATGGATGCAGATACATTGTTTTTTATGATGAAGTAAGATGTTGTATTAGAAAGGCATCAAGGAGATGCAAATTACATACACAAAAACATGGTTAACTCCTGAGAACAAAAACACCTATTTAATCAGGGAGTTAACCACAAGCAAAAGAATGGTCGCTAAGCCATATTGAGGGAGCTAATGAAATCTAAGAAGGGTAATATATCATTTACAGGGGATGCAGATACATTTTATTACTCTAAGAAGATAGAACAAATCACTTTTTTCCCACCCATTCCTGTGCAATGTCACATCTCTTGGAACATTGTATACAATGTTAAGGGTATATATTAATATTACTCCTTTGATCCCTTTTTACATGTCCTACTATGCCTTGTGGTTTGTCCAAAATAGCATGTCCACTTAAATCAAAAGGAAAAGATTTGATGTTCCACCTCTCTCAATAGAAGAAGATGCAGAAGCTAACATCAGTAGAGGGAAGAATTTTGCATGCCCGGGATACTACTGAACCTCTACTAGGCTACTAACGAACTTTCACAATGATGCTGTTAGAAACAATCGATATCAGACAAGTATGGCCAAGTAGGTGCAGCAAGCTAATCCCCACAATCTTGCTCCATACTATTCTATCAACTATGTGGGTGCAATGTATGCATGCGGGGCATAATTTGTTTGATCCTTGCAAAGATATTATCTACATTATTTTGTAGGAGACCACCAAGGTTAAAGGTAATGCAGCAATTGACATTGAGGATTGATTGCACAACTCATGGTTTAGACGAAAAGTATTCTTGACAAATGGTCATTCTCGTTGACAAAGGGTAAACAATAAGGATGGTATAGATGCATAAATAACTAGAAAAAAGAATCTAAAAAAATATGGAGGAAAGAACAGGAGGAAGGTCAACATATCAAAGACAAAGGTTGGGGAATACAAGAGCTAATACGCAGTTATAGTTAGGCAATTAGCAGGAAGTTATGGTAGCTAGATTCAGTTAGCATCAGTGAAATTAGTAAGAGCAAGCTAACGCACAGGGTACATGCTACCTCCCATCAGGGAGAAAACAACAACTCCACCCACCAAAAGTTTAGGCAGAGGTAAGCAATTCACCTATTATTCTTTGTTCTGGGATTAGAAACTTAGCTGTCAAGAAGACTGCAAGCCACTCCCTTTAGGGTAAGAGATCACTCAGTTCTTTTCCTTTTGTTTCTACTTTTGAGTTGGATTTCTGGGATTATCACTGAACCTAACTAGGTAGCTCTTGAGCTTCAATTGAACTCTCAACTTCTTAATCTATGATTCCACAAACTAAATACACATAAACAAAAACAAATTATTTTTTTAAAAAAAAAGAGATAGTACACCTATAGGTGAAACCTACAGGTCAATAAAGTGTGCTGGGAACTATCACGTATCAGGTTCAATTCCCACAAAGAAAAACACAAACTGATCTTTTCACATCTGTCCAAACCTTGGTGGACAGAGTTACCCATTAGCACAACGGAAAGTAGCAGGCACCCCATACCCCAGGAATCACATGTAAGGTGACCCGGACAGCACAGATATTAAAAACAAAAAAGAGATAGATAGATAGATAGATAGTAGTGCGTAGTACCAGTCCTTCAATCTGAACAACTCTGAGTGGCGGCGCAACAGCCTCCTCTGTAGCTGCCACTTGCAAAAACGACCTTCCTGTAGCTGCATCAATAAATTGAACAGGTTAATCGCTAACTACACATATTGTACCCAAAAAAATTCCTCGTAAAGAATCAAAAAAGGAAAATTGTACGTACGATTTGCCATGATGATAGAAATTGAGCAGAAAATTGACTGAATCCGAAGCTTCTCGACTTCGGAGCAATTCTACAAGAAGCAAAATCCAAAACCCTAATTGCTGGAGGAATAAAGTGAGGAGACGAGACGAAAGAGGCAATTATTATTAATGGGCCAGCCCACTTCTAGCCATATAAGGATTGGATTGGGTAAAACACACTATTTAATTTGTAGTACTTAATTATAAAAATTATTTAATTTGTAGCTATTTTGGCAAAAACTAACAAACATATGTGTTGTGTTGTCCCTTTTATGAAAAGTTAATTTTAAATGAAGTGGTGTTATTGAGAAAACTTGAAAATATTGTGGCATTGTCGTTAAATGATTTTGTTAGATTTGTTATTGTTTTGACAAATCGACGATTGAATTTTGTTTTTTTATAATATTTAGAACTTGTATTTCAAATCTGAGCTTATCAAGAGTAGATTTAGGCTTGAATCGTATGTTTCATTGTTGAGATTTGATATAATAAGTTGTTACTTCTATGTAAAAGTTTATTCTTATGAACTTCTAGAATAAATGTCTATACTTCATCCATATGTAGCGGAAGTTTATGAGAAATGACTAAATATGTATCATATTTGACCTCAACCATATATGTTTAAACTCCAAGTAACAATGGTTAAACTTCAATAATATGTACCTAAAGTTCAAGAAAATATATCTAAAATTCAGTCATATGTACCTGAAGTTCACAACTATGTCGCCTTTTGTTTTCTTTTTGACAAGGAATGGAAATGGTTCGGGGCGGGACATCCCCTTACCATTAAGTCATTAGTGTCAATCTTGACCGTCTTAAAGTCAAATGAGTTTTATTCATTGAGTACACGAAAAAATGACAAATAAACATAGAATGGTCAATTACAGTGTCACGCCCCGAGCCTACACCCTGGGCGGGATTGCACTCGAAAACCATTGATGGCCCCAAGCGAACCTTTGGCCTGACTTACTTACTCAGGGGAAGACTCTAAGCATTATTACAATGATCAAATGCGCTTCTACTTAACTTGTTTAATAAAATAACTTAGAACGTTTAAAGGTCAAACATTCAACTTGGCCAAAATGGCAACTCAAGTCTTAACATATGAAATAATAATATAAAGACAACTGAACTACTGACTGTCTATCTATAAAACCTCTAATAACTGAGATGGATGTCGGGACAAGACCCACGACATCCCAATGAACTAAATACTGAAAAGTAATAAAAAGGGATCCTCCGGAAGAAAGGAGGCTCACTAACAAACTCTGGAGCTCAACTAGAATCAACGATGCGCTGGATGCTGATACTGGTTACCTGTGTCTGTATCATTAAAAGATGCAAGCCAAATGACATCAGTGCATTAAATGTATGAGTATGCGATGGGAAATCTAAAACAAGACATAAGCTTGAAAGGAACTGAAAAAACACTTACCTTGGCTTTACTCAACTCATGAACAACTTAACTCAATAAAAAGCAATAAAACACATGCAATATACAGAAAGCCTTTAAAACAGTAGAAAACAACTTAGTTCGTTAAAGAAAATGCAATAACAAACTCAACTTTAATCATATAATAAAGTAATATAGTTTCTATAGGAGTTTCTCTAACCGACAACCACCACTATGAGCCTAAGTGGTAATACATCGTCTTGCCCACGCTGCCAGAATTGTCCTATACTTTGTCGTCAGATAAAATACCTTAACTAAGTGGATCCACTAGTCTATGCTAAAAGCACTTAAGGAGTCATCTAAAAAGTATGATCATTTACTACCCATGATGGCTACATGGTTTATGGAGACGTGAGTTATCTGAACTCAAACTCGTCCCCATATCGGTGCTCAATACTACTCCCAAAATACTCAGCTCATATGTTTAAAAACATAACTTCTTTCTTTGGTTTGAGATAATTACTCAAAAGTTAGCTTAAAAGCTCTCTTGGAATCGATGTTCCCTTTCTTGCTCAAATGTGAAAACATTTACTCTTTAACTAAAAACTAGCTCAAAGGCTCTTTTGGAAATCAAGGTTTCCTTTCTTCTTTAAATGTGAAAACATTTTACTCTTTAGGAATACATAGTCCCGATATATACTCTTTTGAAGAAATGAACTTCAAACTTTACTCTTTACTCAGCTCAAAACTCAAGTCTTAAAACAAAGTTAAAACATTTGAAATAGACTTTTGGAAGACTCTATGAACTTCTCTTGACTTGACTCTTAACTTCTCTTGACTTGAATGTTAATTTTACTTGAATTGAATTATGGATTCAAGGATTATGATTTGTGATAGGAAAGATCTCATGATGTTTAGGAGTGTTTTTAGATAGCTAAACATGAGAAAAGATCAAGAAATCATTGTCTGAAAGTAGGTCCGCGACGCGGAGATACATTTAATTATTTGATCGCGAAATAAAATTTTGAGGCTAAACGGTCCGTGACTGCTCCGCGACGCGAAGAAACTTTTCCCAAATCTGAGGAGCAGGTCCGCACGGCCCCACTGCCCAGATTCGCCGGACTTTTTTCTTCTTCGTTTTCCAGTCTCAATTCACCTAAACTCGATTATTTTTCTCAAGTTCTCTTTAGATTCAGATACCCAGCATATGTACCCAAGAACCTAACTCAAAACAACTCTAAAACTCGACGTAAAGATCTTAGGATCCGACACCATGATAAAATATTACCCTCATGATATTAGACCTCAATTCAGCCCAATTCAAAAACGGAAGTAAATTCAAGAACATTCAAACTTTCAACTTTTAGGACGAATTCATGCTGAATTAAACATGTTTGGCGCGTGGGTGAACGAACCCAACGTTGTGTGAACTCACATACCTCGTAGGGATCACCCCTTGACGAAATCCACAAGCGATTCTTGAAGATCTTGACGATTTTTGCTCCTTCTCCTCTTCTTTTTCTCTTCTCTAAAACCCTAACTCAATATTGTAAAAGCATAAACTGAATCCTATCAGTTTAGACCCCAATTAATTACCAAAAACGAAATTAAGTCATGGGGTATGGAAAAGACCATAATGCCCTTCTAAAATCCGGGCTAGACTTTCCTTATTTGAACAGCCCAACTTCAAATGGGCATATCTCACTCATACGAACTCGGAATCGCACAAACTCAGTGGCGTTGGAAAGATTATTCCAAGATCTTTCCTACAATATGTGGAAACACTCCTAAATCATCCTGAGCTAGGAGTTATGGTCGTTTGAAGTTGACAAAAAACTCAAACTGAACATACTTAAATTTTCCAGATTTTTTTTTAAACAACTCTTTCTAATTCTAGCTCTTTCTAGTTCTTTCAAAAAGCGAGGTGTTACATATAGAACTTCTCAATCAATAAACTTTAATACAAACATAATAACTCCAATAAGTAGAAGTATATATATATTACATAAAAACATTTGCCTCAAAGGCATCCTTAGTTAAAAAAAAATACAATATTTATCTAGCTTATATCTAAGCTAGGAATCTCAAAATCTGAGATAACAGAAATGAATACTTACAATACTATTTGCTTTGTAACCATCAAAATATATGCTTCAATATTCATTATAGATTGAAGACAAATGAACCTAAATCATAGTTCATCATGAACATTACATTCTTCAATTTCCTGCTCAATTTTCTTGTCATTTGAGTTAAGACACTCTGCTTCTGGATGAACATAACCAGCTATAATTCCCGTGGCTGAGTTACAGTATACTTCAGCAGTGCCATCTCTTGCCTCTAAGTTAACATTGTCCAGAGTAATATGGCTACAAGGCACAGTGTCACTACACGCGAATTTCATCGCCTTTTTGCTCTTTGTTGTTCCACTAACGTTACGATAGAGTACTTCACTTATCTCTACTGCAGATGTCTGTAATGTCCAAATAAACAACACACATTTTGTCATACTTCTCTTTCAAGTTGAGAGACATTCTTTTTGAAATAGACTCAAAAGGAAAGTAAGACAAACACGTTGAAACAGAGGGAGTACCTGATTTTGACAAGGCTTTTGAGAGTCGCAATAGAATTGATCTATAATGATTGGGTTCGAAACATCTTCCATTTGTACATTTTGAAATCGAACTGTTCGAACATAACCTGATCCTCCCTATGAACATTAACACCTTCACATCAGTTTTTTTCAATCTAAATACAATATGAATAAGACACAACATTATTTTTGTGAAATTACCTGCCATGTTTTGATTCTGAGGCCATTTGTGGTACCTTTGAGGTATGCTGTATCCAGAACTACTCTGTTCACTACACCGATGGATTCGTCTTTACCAAGGCTCCCAATGCTAGACAAGGATTAATCATGTAGCAAAATCAGTATAGAAAACATACTACTTAGGATGAATCACACCAAGGCGTTTTCGAATATAACAATACATTATTTCACAATGGTCTTGTCCACAAGCAAATCAATGTTCAGCAGCGGAAAATCATTTTTGAGAACATGTTTTATTGAGATTGTTCAAAATAGATGAATACGCGAACACGTGTATTAATAGACTACCTGATTCCATGGCCAGGACCACAGTAGATATTCTTCATCTTGATATTGGAACTAGCATTTACAATTGATATACAATCATCACCTACATATACATCAAAAACAAGTTAATCATATTCATTTTTTTACCATAAAACACACATCATGAAAATTGAGAATCTCCATTACACAATGCAAGTAAATCATATTAGTAAAACTTTTAAAATTGCAAAAGTAGCAATAAAGAAAAATGAACATAAATAACATGACATATAGGTTATGTTACTCGGACTCTTCAAAAATGTTGCAACATTCATGCCGGATCCTCCAAAAATGCACCACTTTTGAACGATCTGACACACATTGACAATATTTTTGAATAGATCGAGCAACATAGCATATAGAGAAAGAGTCACCTGTCCCAATTTTGCAGTCTTGGAGTACAACATTTGTTGATTCACTTATATGAATTCCATCAGTATTAGGACTATCTCCAGGAGAAGAAACCTTAACACCATTTACGCGTACAGAATTTGATCGCGAAATTACAAAATGCATCTGTTGGCTATTCTGGAATGTAAGTCCTTTCACCCTTATACCTGAGCTTAAATCTATGGTTAATGCCTGAAATTT